TCAATGAAATACGACCCAGTGCACATGTTAGCACTTCGTATGTTCATTCCACGAAATCGTTCCTTGCATATTGACCAGAAATTCTCGATTGGATTTAAATCAGGAGAATTTCCAGGCCAGTCTATAGTACTTTGATTTGCTTACTGGTAACGCTTGCCAGTGTGTTCGTGCAGCGTTACAATTTTCGTACGCTTCCTTGAAGTAACGTCCATCACAGACAATGGTCGTAGGGCAACATATCGACAGCTAAGTGTCTGATTGTGATGAAAATTTGATGCAATCACCGATGAACCCTTATTTTTCAAGGTCAAACAAATTTCATCATACAACCCGAAAATAAATCCGTATTACTGCACACCACTGCAAATGACCTTTTCTGAGGAACAAATAGAAATCAATTCCACCCTGTCATCCCAATGGGTCTAAAACTGACCGTATGGTGAAATAAAGTAAAGTAAAGTGGTTGTTTCAATTGATTTGCACAAGGGTGTAATTATTAATAAGAAGAGTTGAAATTGATGCATGCAAGATTTCACAGCTCTAGCATCATTCCTTCATAGTCAGCCTGTTAACTTTTCAGATCTTTGCGAAGGAGCAATTCGAAATCCAAACACTTTACTTATTGCTAGAAAGAAAGAAAGAAAGAAAGAATGAATGAATGAATGAATGAATGAATGAATGAATGAAAAACGATGTTTGAAACGTCGATGTTAGCAACAACGCAAATTAATTTCTTCTTCTATGCGATGTGTCCCTTTAGAACATTGGCGATCATGGCCCTCCACAATTTCCTGTCCCATTGTAGCTTTTATATTTTTGGCGTCTCACTTAAAGCCTGCTTCACCATCAGTTCAATCAAGCTCAACAGGTCGGTTGTGTGTTGTTTGCATCTGGCCCTCTTAACTTCAATCTGTTCTGTGGGTATCAAATTTTCCAAACCCTTTTTCCTCATTATGTGCATCAGAAATTTTAACTGTCTGCGCTCCTGTAAGTATCCTTTTGTTGTCATTGTCTCGAGAAGTCCATCGTTGCTCAAATGTTTGATCCATCGACAGAAAGACAGCGACAATGAGATAGCCACTACGGAACAACTGACACCATTTTGAATCACATAATTAACCACCCACGAGGTCGTACAATGTGACTTGAGGAAGCAAAATGACTGTATTGTCAATATAAATGCTTGAAAACATATACCAATTTCTGTTCTTTTTCAAGCATACAAACATGTTATAATATGACATTTCGGTGCGAGGTTAAAAATCTTTTTTATTATTATTTTTTTTACTGCTTTTCACTGAACTTTATTTATTTTTTTATTTTAAAACGTCTGTTATTCTTAAAAAACCTAAACACAAAAAGTAGTTATCTGGGATTTTAGCCAACTTTTTTAAGTCAGCTACAACTTTCCGGGAAAATAATTTTAAAAAATTACCTAGAGACATATTTTATGGAGAAATGCAAAGATGTTAATGCCAAATGCAATTGCCAAAATTATAAACAATAAATATAAATATATATTTATCTAGAAGACTCAGTGTCGCTGATATGATAAATAAAAAAAATACTGTGTGTGCGCGCATGCGTGTTAACCGAATTTATGTATTATCCATTAAAATCATATTCAGTGTTTTGCTCATTGCATGACTAATTCTGGATATGATCAGTTTTCAAATTTATGTGCACTGCCATGGAAGATTTGGCAATGAAGATAAAATGATTTGGGGTTTTCTGTGTTTACATAACTTGATCTCTGCTTTGATTTTATTGCAATAACAAAAGAACATAAAAACGGTGCCTAGATGCAGGATAATAGCTAAGGAACTAGCCTCATTAACTCTTATTACTGCCGGATCGGAGGTGGGTGGAAGTTCTATAATGTGTACCCAAATCGTCCCACTGGCTCTACGAGGCATTTCCAAAAGTGGAAGTGTACAACGGGCATAAGCGATTTTAAATCCTAGTCCATGTCTGCCGGGACCCCAACTTCACATTAAACTTGACCTTGTGTCACATTTCACATGTAGACGTGCGGCGAACAACCTCTACTAAGTAGCGGGTTCGACCCTGACTGTCTGCTTCATATTTATGGCCTTCTTCCAATCCAAATTTACGAACATTTTTAGTGTTTCGGCGCGGGGTAATGATTAGACATTTTACTACTTAGTAGTGCATTAGATCCTCAATGATTGACCAATACACGTGACCTTCTACCAAACTAAGTTTATTAAATATTTTCAGCACATCGATGTGGTGTAATGGTTAACGAGCTAGTCTAACTGAACATTAGGTAAAGCATTTCTTTAACTATGTACCAAAATATGCATGTTAATATTTTGTGCGTTTCAATGAAGTTTAATGGTTAATGAGCTGGCCTGATCCTTTCTAACTGCCCATTTTTGTGACCTTGTACCAAACCAAGCTAAGCTGAGTAAAATCAAGAAGCAAATATAAAAGCATTAAAAAATTAAACTGACAAAACGGTTTCAACACACCCATATATATATATATATATATATATATATATATTTTTATATATACAGAATTTAATAGTTGCTCGGAAAAGAATAATAATAAGAAGGCATTTTTTAAAAAAGCAAAAGCCAAAATAAAACCACCGGTTTCGTCCCAGGACTTATCAAGTTATTTATTCTGGGAATTTAAAAGCGTGTAAATTAATTTTAATTAACTAATGTGATTAAATGGAGAGAGAAAAAAAATATAAATTTCAAGGAGACCAGAGTCCAATAATATTCAGACCCAGCATGCATTCCCTCTGTTTACAGAGGGAAGGTTCACGAGATCTGATATACAAGGACTCCAGGACCTTGAGGTGAAATGTGGAGTGGGACATCGATAAAATAATAAATCGGTCACCACTAAAATTTTCCACACATTCCCTTCTATTTATGAAATGTTCAGCAATGGCAGAACCAGAACTGTTAGTCAATTGGCTATTCCTAGAGGACGGATTCAAAATCCTAGAGGGTAAATGCTGTTTAATTCTCGAATCCAAACGCTGTCATACAGGAATTGCAGAATGCTAATGATAGATGACACTTTAAATCATTTTATCAGAATCAAAGGCGTGTCTTTGGACATGAATCAAAGGGATCAACTGCCAACTTTTCTTTCGATGGAAACTTTCTTACGGTCAAAAAGAGATCACTAAAAACTGGGCAAAACTCTTCTCAAATGTTCTAAACATGGATTAAAATGTCGATGGGAATGCTATCAACAACTTACCACAGAGACTTAGTCTTGAAGAGCTATTAGCTTCTCCATCAATTGATGGAATTAAAAGGTCCATAAAAAAAACTGACAAACGAGAAGTCGTCTGGTAACGATGGCATAACAGCAGAGACATAAAAGTGTGGACGTAATCTTTGTTATCTCTTTTCTTTAATCTTGAATTAAGGATCAGTTCCTCGTAAGTTTAAAGAAGCTTTTATTTTCTATCTGTATAACATTAAAGGTAATAAATGTGAATTTGACAACCATAGAAGCATCTCCCTTCTGTATGTTGCTGGGAAATTCTTTGTAGGATGGTCTTGAACATCTCACTTAGTAGAACCTCCATTCTAGGGAGGATCTGGCAGGAGTAATTCAAATGAGTCAAGAGTGGAGTTGGTCTTTCTTTGAGCACACGCTTGCACTCATTACGAGCAATGACAAAGAAACGTCTGTTGCAATCATACCTGTCGCTCTGGGCATAGCCTGGAGAAGTGATTCCCGATGAATAGGCAAGCACCAAGGAGATTATCGTGGTTTCATTTGTTATTTCCTTGCTTGTTTCACTACTAACTTGTCTAATTCTTTACAGTAAGGTTCACCCTGTACAAGTCCCGGAACCACTAGAGGTAGAGGGTTACGTTACGCTTATATAGATAGTGGGGAAGATAACGGTTAACTCTAGGCTTGAAAAATTTAAGCTTGTAGAGCTCAGGGAAACATCCTCTTGGGAGTCTGTTCTACAGGGTAGTGGTTCGCGGGAATAACTGTTTGAGTGAAACTTCTCGCCGATAAAATACGGAGGTAATGTTAGTGATTTGCTACTATGTAAGTGGCATGGCGGATCCTAGCAGAACCAAGGACTATAGTTCATCCGAACACTTTCCATGGAATTAGCGATATAGCACTAAGAGACACGCCACATACCACCTGTGAGAGAAAAGTTGGAGGGTGGAAAATAATTCTTCTCTAACAAGGACTCGGAGGCTCTTTTTGAACTCTATCAAGATTGTAAAGTGAAGACATAGCAGTTCCCGCCCAAATATGGCACCAGTACTCCATTTTCGGCCTGATCTAGCTCTTATAATGTTAGAGGATAGCATATGTATCTATTATTGTTAGTCTTTTCTTTTTGTTGACAATATTCGGTTGTGCTCTGGATTTGTCGTTACGTTTTGAAATTAAACATGCCAGAGAAGCATTAATTGCGGGAGGCAACTTTATTTAGCACCATTATGTTCGGCTCTGCATCCCATTTTGCCGGATTCGTTAACAAACTGCGCATGTCATAAATAGACTTCCGGTTAGAAATAGGAGAAAGAAACCTATAATTTGGACTGAGCAAGAGGATAAAGCAAACCTGTTCTTGCTATGCCTTCTGTTTTATACTTTCTGGTTAAACGCATTTAGGTCAGCGGTCTTATTCTATTCAATATAATTCGCATATGATAAGTTACAAGTACACTGATACAGAGCATCAAAAACCAAATGGAAAAATACGCAACAATGTCAAAAATGGCGTATAAGGAAGCCATCGTCTTCTTCTCTATCTTAATTTTAACTTAGTGCTTGGTTGCATTTATTACGTTGAATGTTGACTAATATCGGGTTTTTTCCTTATCACCTCTATTCTTCAAAAATATTGTATTTGCAATGGCTTTTTGTCGCTTATCAGGCAATTCTGTTTTGAGTAAAATTCCGCATGTTTACTATAATAATTTGAATCTTGTTTTCATTAGAGAAGGTTTTTCCCATCGAATGAATAACACGTTGAAACACCGGTTCTCGTACGATCACCGAAGTTAAGCAAAACCTAACCTAGTCAGTAGCAAGATGGGTTACCGCTTGGGTATACCAGTTGCTGTAAGCTTAGATGTGCGGATGGTGTAATGGGTAACGTCTTGGAATTGGAAATCGTACAGCCGAGTTCCTATTCCATTCGGTTTCGTTACATCCACATACGCCCAAAAGCCCTTCGGAAATTTCCTTACTATCTAAAAATATATTCTGGCTTCAAATAACCTACGAAAGGTTTATACGTCATAAAAAAAAAAACAATCTCAATGAAAGTGTTTTACAGCTATTGAAAAAGGTAATAATCAGTTAAAGTCAGGTGAATATAGTGGGTGGTGGTAGAACAGACCAACCAAATTTCAAGAATGTTCTTTATGTTATTCTTGTTGTATGTGACATCGCTATGGAGGACAACAACACTTTTCCTATTGACAGGCGCAGAGCGCTTTTCGACCAAATTTTATTGGACACGTTGCAGCTGCTGAACCTATAAATGTGCATTTAATGTTTCATTAGCCCCACCGCACGAACAACATTATCTTTAATTGTGTTGATCTTTTGTGGACGGTTATGGAGATTTATCCATGTGAATCCACTACCTTTTGCGTTGAACAATGTCGTATGTTTACTTAGTCGCTATACAGTCTTAACTGCTACTAGAAGTTAAAATGATACATTCGTAATACTATTAGTTAAAAAAAACAAAGAACAAGGAGGACAATAATGTTTATAGATACTTTATACTAGTGATTCGTTAAGACCAAAAGTTGACCTGAGAAATATTTTAAATGAGCCTGGAAACATCAAGAGCAGTGTAGTCACTGGTTAGGATTTATATTTATATTATTATTATTATTGTTATCGAAAAGATATTCTTTTCAAATTTCTCGTTTGGTACATTACTTGCCGAGCTCCAACCAAGCACCTAGGGTAAAAAAAAATGACTAATGGTTCCGTTCGTTAGTCAAACATTCAGTAAACAATAAATATCCCCAAAAGCCACATCACTTTTAACCAGGTACATCTTAATATATATAGGATGAATATAGGAACACTAATTTATACTGAGTTACTTAAAAATCGTAAACTAAAAACTGATATCTTGTAAGACATCACTAAAAAATATAACGAAAAATAAAATAATTGTACATTACCAGTACAACCGATTTTTTTTCATTATAAGAAAAGCCTCTTTTGTACAAATTTTTGTAGTTTTATATATTTTATAGTTGAAAAAAACATTTTTAAATATAACTTGAAGAAACAGACATACTGTCGAAATATTGTTTAACATTGCTAAACACTGTGTTCTTTTATAATAATAATAATAATAATAATAATAATAGAGATATTAATACTAGTAGCATTAAATATATATATTAAATATATTTATATACATATGTATTGACAAAAATAAATGAATTATATAAAAAAAAATAAACAGGAGAATAGAGCCATATAAACATGGACAGGTAAATTATCTGGGTCATATATCCGACTATTGAAAGTGGATCAGTTGTTATTTATACAAAACGTATAAACATTGGAAATTCCTAAGTATATACTGAAAATAGCTAAATATGTGGCCGAAAGCGCTTGGGACGATGGATAAAACGAAATATTTTTACACTTCCGTTTTACCAGCAAAAGGAAAAATGTAAGAATGTTGGGAAAACTAAATAAAAAATTCATCTAATGTTTAAAAGAAAAGTTTCTACCTAAATACACATTATATATATATATATAGTTCAGCACCTGAAAATTGTGTCGTGGATAAAACTCAGAGTTGTGTTAGTTGTGAGGGATAATATATATATATATATATATATATATAAAATAAATAATAAAAAATAAATAAATAAAGACAAAAATTCCATGCATTAATCGTTAAACACTTTCCTAGAGACAGTAAACTCAGTAATTTTTTTTTTTTTTTTTAAATAACCTAAAATTAAGTTACAGTTGTACGGAAAACTTGGAAATGATTGTAAAGAAATATAATATTAATATCTTGAGTAAACATTTAGATCAAAATCATAAACATTTAAATAGTAACATAAAAAGAAATGAAAATAAAGGAAAATTATATAACTGTAGAAATCTTCAAAACTGTCCTCTTAATAATAAATGTAGCACTAAATCAGTTGTGTACCAATGCAATATCTTATCTCTTGAAGATACAGACGATGTTAAATTCTACATTGGATGCACAAGACATGAGATCAAGAAGCGTTTTAACCAACATCAAAGTTCTTTTAAAATAAGTAAATACCGGAATCAAACGTCTCTATCTAAATATTCCTGGCACTTAAAAGAAACCTATGAAACACCTGCTGTAAAAAATTAATTATTAAGAAAGACTAGAGTTTGTAGGTCATTAAATGACCCATGTCCTTTATGCATACACGAGAAATTATATATGGTTAAGTTTATGCGAAATAAAAATTTGCTTAATCAAAAGAATGAAATAGCTATTTTCTGCAGACACTGTTAAAGATTTTCCTTAAATAATAATTAAATATCATAAAAAGATGAAAAATGAAACATACATATTTAAACTTGATCTTTGCATAATAATTTTTAAATAAGAAAGTAATTCTAATATACTTATTTGTTTTAAAAAGACGTATAGTCATTAAAAGTAGAAATAATACTTTAAAATTCTGGGAATAGATTTTAAATAATAAAAATACGAAGCACTCATATTCAAACGAACCTTTTGAAAAAAGCTTTGTGTATAAAAATTAGAAATTAAACAGCAAAATAAAGATGCCAAAAAACTCTGTCATAAAAAAAAGACTACATGCGATAAATGGATGTCATCATTTGTTGAAAAGGCACACCTACCCTACTTTAACTTAATCTGATTTTAAAAGTAGCTTAGATTTGATACAGAGGTTGTCCAGGGAAACGAATATCCTACCATCCCTTCTTAATAATCTTTAATTTCCCCTGGAACCTTGACAACTAATAATATCAAGAGTGTATATGCTTATAAACCAAGTAAATTTCAAAATAAGTTATTCTAGAAATCGCTTTAAAATGAATCAGAGATAAAGAATTTAAATTTAATTCTATAATTAAATTTAAGGTTTAGTTTCTGTTTTTGAAACATGGTAATTCCTGCGTAGCGATGGAACCATATTTTTAAATTAGTAAATTTATAATGTTTAGGCTCTACTGAATTGTACTGAGCATTGTTTTTTGTAAAAATAATAAGAACAGCGGACTATAAATTTTACTGTTCTCTCTCATTATTGTAATATATATATATATATATATATATATATATATATATATATATATTGTTTATAAGTTATATGTATATATATATAAGTTATATGTATATATATTGTTTATAAGTTATATAATTGTCGGACTTTGTCAATTTCAATATATGTATATATTCAAAAACCCGATATCCTTTGGATGTTTTAGACTCCATTATCCAAGACATCATTAGAAAATTTCATAGGGTTAAGCCGCATTTTGTTGGTAAATGCGCAGTTTATCTGCTTCTTTCCTATATTGGTACAGAGGGTGAGAGTTTATCTAGACGAATTTCACGCTTGATCAATAGCTGTTATTTTTCGGCGAATGTTAGGGTAATATTGGTTACCCGTTCTGTTTTCTCTTCCATTTGTAAGGCCGTCCTCCCTCCCCATCATATTAATTCAGTGATTTTCCAGTGTAGTTGTGGACTCGACTACATAGGGAGGACGTCCCAGCCTTTGGATTTGAGAATAAAACAACATTTACCCCCAGGATTTAGAATCCGGTTACCAGGGCGAGCCAACTAATCAATACTTCTGGCTCTGCTATTGCAGAGCATATAATAAATAGTAGGAAATGTGTGGTTAATTTTAGTGTGGACTGTTTTTTGATTTTATCTCTGTCCCACTCCACATTTCACCGCAAGGTTCTAGAGTCCTTGTATATCAGATCCCGTGGGCCTTCTCTTTGTAAAGAGAGGAAATGCTTACTGGGTTTGAATGTTATTGGACTCTAGTTTCTTGAAATTCAATTTTTTTTCTCTTCCATTCCATTCCGTTCGTTAATTTAATTTACACGCTTTTATAAATTTTCTATTCCCAGAAAAATAAACTTGATAAGTCCTGGGACGAAACCGATTTTTTTTTTGTTTGTTTTTTGTTGTTTTTTTTAGCTATTTCTTTTATAAAATAATGCGTTATAAATTTTGTCTTTTCTAGCTAATATATTACATGACACACACACACACATATATATATATATATATATATATATATATATATATATATATATATATATATATATATATATATATATACATGTTTCTTGTAAACATCTTTCGCAAAATATGCCAGACTAGGAAAATTTTTTCAACGTTCTTACTTTTTTCTGTTTAGTGGGAGTACCAAGATTTTCCATGGTGACCATTGTCCCAAGAGCTTTTGGCCACTTCTTTAGCTATTTTCAAACAATGGTTTTGTTATAAGCGTTGTTAGTATCGCTTCATTCTTTGACTGCTTAAGTCGTATTTCGTTTTTGTGTTGTTTTCAATACTAGTAGAAACGTTTAATGAGGAAAGATGGCTTATAGAATTTGACGTTCAATTTACATACTTAAGGTATGAGTGTGGGGAGAGACAGTTAAAACTTTGCTAAACCTTATAAAGGATAGAATGTTATGGAGGGCCATAATTTCCCACGTTCTCAATGAACTCGACACATAAAGATTCTTTTGATTCTTTTCTTAAACTTTGCATCAGGGAATAGAGAAACACACCTGAACACAATTAATTATCTTCAGTAAAAAGCAGAAACCGTACAATTTACCACGTTTGTTTGTAGCTTCAGAGGACATTAACTCATCCCTGGATTCTGTAAAATATGCCCTGAATCGATTCAAATCAATCAAGAAAATAAAATAAGAAGACGATTTTCGAAATTAAATTCCTGAAATTATCTTCAACTTCTGTGCCTCCGGAACAGAAAATAGATTCTTGGAAAAATAAAATCTATGCAACAAAATATCTGGTAGTTCAAATAATTTTAAAAAGTACTATATAATATTGTTTTTATTTGTTTCTTCT